TTCCTGCTTACAGCAAGATGGTCTCCCCTCCCAGTTCTGTGCTTGTGCCTGGAGTAATGGCTGCTGCTGCTGCGTTAACACTTCTGGGCCCCGTGCTGTCTGAGCCACCGGCTCCCTCTGCTATCGAGTGTGCAGAGGGAGCTGCTGCTTACTTCAGAAACTGCTAAGGAGACAGACCGGGGCAACGGTGGGCAAGTGGGAGGGATGCTTTCCGTGAGTCTCAGCTTATTGCACAGAAATCAGATCCCCCCCCAAGTTCTCTACCCCACTCAGACAAATTAATCTTCCTTTTAAATAGAGAAGGAAACATTTTATCTGTGATGAGATAAATGGCATCAGAATTAGAGCCAAACTAGAAGCATTAGGTGAAACTAAGAATTCTTGAATTGATCAAGAGATTATCCATAGCAATCACATGAATTTCATATTATATCCAGCAAAATCTTTTGGAAAGGGAAGAAGAAATCAACAATATTGGGGGATCACACATTTCCTCAGTCCTTGGCAGATAAAATGTCTAGGTTAAAGTATAGAATCTAGGATATAAATATTAAAGTGATGACAACAATTAACATTTTTCTTTTTTTAGTATTTTCTGTGTGACAGGCACTATTCTAACCTCTTTTCATGTATTAACATACTTAGTCAAAACATCCATAAGAGATAGACATACGCTTATTTCCATACTCCAAATCAAAAACCTTAGGCACAAAGGCCAACAAAATAATATACTTTACTTAAAACAAATTTGGAATATAACTTGAAGCAAAGGAAATACTTTAAGGACCCAGGGAACATTTCCCGAATTAGTCATATATTGGGTCTTAGAAAGCCTCAGGAAATTTTCTCCGAAATGATGAAGTACTATCACATTTTACCTGAAACATTTGTTCCAATCACACACCCAAACGCAACCACAATATGTAATGAACTTAGAAATAAATGGCAGGGATAGACATTCTGAAATTCCTCCTGCCTCCTGCCTCCTGCCTCCAGACATTCCGAAAGTCTCAAAATGTTATAAACAAGGGTTTGGGGCCCAAGAACCCTGTGGCACGCAGGGATCCTGCACGCAGCTCCAGGTGGGGAACCCCAGGGACCCCCACATCTTCCCAGGGACCCAAGCGTTCGTTTGGCAGAATTGAAATTAGTCCTTGACAACAGGTTCTGCTGTGGGGCCGGCTCTAAAGCTGTCATCCTCCTACCTGAAGTGGGCCTGCCGCCAGGAAAAGCCAAACCACAGACATCTGGAGACGGACCCTGGGTTTTGCCATGTAAAGGGCTGAGGGAAATTTCGGGATCCTGCACTTTTTTCTGGTAAGTTCTAAAGCAGTGGGAATGTGCTGAGACACATTGGGTCTGACCATTTTTTTCCTTGTTTCTGAGATGCACATTTTTAAAATCTCAACATCAGATGGGTCTTGCAATTGATGATGGGTCTTTTGCTGCCCAGGGCTGAAAACTTTGAGGATGAATGTCTGTTGGCAGCTTGGAGGGAATCCCAGAGAACTGAAGAAATGTCGCGACACCATGGCTCTTATGGGACAGAAGTTAATGTTTTGTGAAAAAAACAGACACCTATCACTTCATGTTGAAACATGATTCAAAAGAGCCGGACCCTGTGCAAAAGTTTTCGGGACATCTAAACCAATTTATTTTGCTTGTGTTTCCTTTCCGTGTGTTCACAGGAGTGATCTGTGATTAAACCCATGTCTACACAAGTCAAACCTTTTTCAATATACAGAATTTTTTTCCTTACAAACTTCTAAGTGATAAAGCATTGTGTTATGACTTAATGGCAGCATTTTTCTTTCTTAGAGGAACATAAAATCATAATGCATGCTGCCATCCATAATGTCTTAGAGCAGCTGAAATGCAGGAGGGGGAAACTTCATTTTTTTTACTCCGGAGGCGTCTGGTGTCATAAGTAACTTTTAAGAACCTGTGCTGTTCAGGAGGACTGAGAGACAAGGAGTCAGAAATGCCAACATCATGGCTGCTCTGGCTCATCTGTGCCTGGGGCACCGGGCAGAGACCAGGACCGGGCCAGCCCTGCATGGAAACAGGTGAGGTCGTAGGCACCAAACATGTGGCTGGACGCTGTGTTGGGCCAGGGGAGGCATGATGCTGGGTGGCTTCCCCTCCCCCACAGCAGGGACAGGAGGAGGAGGTTCTGAGCTGCCCTCTTGGGAGAGTTCGTGCCTTCTGCCTGCCCTGCCACTGATGGCCAGACCAGCCTCAGGCGTCCTATAAAAGGACGAGAAGGGCCCAGCCGCGTCCGAGGAGATCGGAGTGGACATGGGCTGACGGTGTGGCACAAGCTGCCTAGCTGAGACGGCACCAGTGGGATCACAACATCACGGATCTGTTGCTTATGGGAAAAGTTAAAACTGCATTTGGGTATGTGATTGGAACAAATGTTTCAGGTAAAATAATGCAGCCATTTGAACCACGCATAGCGACTCCAGCATTTTGTGCTCTAAGATCTGTTCAAATATTGGCTTCATTATCCCATGTCCTGAAACAGGATCTGTGGTCCTCAAAGTGGCTGCAATTTGGGGAGACAAAGGAGCTCAGTGTTTGAAACTGGACACTGGACAGTGATTGCATGAATTATCTCAAAGTTCCCTTTTTGGATGTCGAATGCAAAGAAGCACTTCCCCTAAAAGTTCTCCTCACAGAATGATTTCTTTCCCTTTCTTCATTTGGTACCATATGAGTTGATGGATGTTAGTTGAACCTATTGCTATCGTCACTTCCCAGGATATTCTCCCAGGTGTCAGGTACCCACTGTCAGAAACTGCTGGGAAAACGCCAGTCCTCTTTTTAGTCACATTAATTACAGTAAGTGCCGTCCATTCCTGGACAATCCACTCGCCCCCCGCCTCTCTAATGCCTACATGTCCTTCAAAGCTCATCACCCCTGTAGGGCAGCTTTGCCCTCCTCCTCCTGGCTGCCATGGCAACCTGAGCATGCCTCCACAACGGCACCATCCCTCTGGCCAGGAGTCTGTCCTTTGTTTTTGGCCCTACTGGCACACAGCTTTATTTCCCTGGACCAAGCATGTTGCTAATGAAGCACCCTAGACTCCCTGAGATTACAGGAGTGTGTGTGCGCACCATATGTCCTTATTTATGAACAGTTGATTGGATGCTGCCTCTTGAAAAGTCTTTTCTCTTATGGAAGTTAAACCTGCACAGGCTCATGTTGAATATTAATTCTTTTCCAACAAGTCTTTGCCTATGGTGGCAAATAGCACTGAACTGGGAGTCAAGTCTCTTTTACAACGTCCAGAGGCCGTATGACTTTGGGCAGCTTCCCTCACCTCGCAGGGTGTTGGCCTCCCCTTCTCAGGTAGATATCTCGAGGGTGCCCTGTATCTTCCATTATTTAGCACAGTGCCTGGCACATAGTATGTGCTCAATAAATATTAGAATAAATTAATCTATGAAATGAATGAAGTGATTGCATGAATTATCTCAAAGTTCCCTTTTTGGATGTCGAATGCAAAGAAGCACTTCCCCTAAAAGTTCTCCTCACAGAATGATTTTTTTTCCTTTCTTTTCTTCATTTGGTACCATATGAGTTGATGGATGTTAGTTGAACCTATTGCTATCATCACTTCCCAGGATATGACAGACAGACGCTCAGGTTGCATGCCTTAAACTTACACAGTGAAACATGTTAATTATACCTCAAAACTGGGAGAAAAAAGAATGTGCAGTGCGCATGTACAAACAAATTGCAGATTCAGGACTCTACCTCAGTTGTAAAGGAAAATCATTTTACTTAAGATCACCTACCTTTATTGTGTATGCCACTTCAGGGAATTGTGGGCCGAGCCCCTGGCACAAAATGTAAGGAAGTCAAATATAATTTGATTTTTCTGATGGGCATATATTATTTATGAAGTGTGAGGCTGTAAATAACAGAAAATCCAACTTAAACATTTTTTAACTTATATACCTGGAAATCTGAGAAATATGTACATTTCAGGAATATTTGACCCAAAGGCTTAATGACAGTTTTATGCTCTCACTGCACTGTACGAGGTATAGTGAGGGCTCCATCGAGGCCTGTCCTCTTATTTGTATCCAAGGAAAGAGTTATTTTTTTTTTAATCTTCACCTGAGGATACTTTTTCTATTGCTCACTAGAGAGAGTGGAGTGAGGAAGGGAAGGAGTTAAGAAGAAAGGAGAAGAAGGAAAGAAGGAAGAGAGAGAGAGAGAGAGAGAGAGAGAGAGAGAGAGAGAGAAACATAGATCAGAGAGAGACACACACATCAATTGGCTGCCTCCCACAGGGCCCCAACCAGGGCTGGGAATTGTGCTGGAGACCCGCTGGTTGTGGGCTGACACTCCAATTACTGAGCCACACTGGCCAATCTTAGCTTTGCCATGACTGGGCCAGTCCTGACCGATCGCTGTGGTGAAAGGAAGGCCATGAGCTGGTTGGCTTAGGCCTGGGAGACCTAAGTCAGTGACTGTGCCAAGAGAAACAGGATGGTGAAGGTCAGTTCTATTCAGATTCGTGGCTGCTATTCAATGAAGGAGGAAAGAAAACCACAAAGTCCAAACCAGCAACTGCAGTGCCAGGGAATCAGAACATCACCTCTGAATTAAGACATGATTATTTTTGTCAAAGTGTCAAGAGGGCACAAAGGAAACTTGTGTTGTTCTGCCTGATTGCAGACAGCTCCCTGTGATTGACGGGTTTGTGTGAAGCCATTGGCTGTCCTTGGCAGCTTCCCCACTTCCACCCCGTCCTCACTCCGAGACTGAAGTCGGAGGTGCATGTGGTACGTGTACCATGGTAATTAGATGCAGCTAATCTGGTGTCCTCGGCCTCTGGTTAGGATGCTTACACGGAGATAAAAGAATCTGCCTGGCACCACCGTGCTCCTCGAAGTCAACACTGAATATTCAAGCCTCCGCAGCAATATCTCAAATGGCCAATTAAAAAAATTACTTACACATTTAGGCGGCTCTCCAAAGGGTGTTTCCAAACATTTATTTGCTCGAGTGACTATAAAATTAGTAATATTGTTGGGACTCACATTAATGGGCTGGGGTAGCCTTGCAAGTGTATTTAGAAGGTTCTACTTGGCCGGAACATTTTGCATCATTTTTGTCATCCTTAAAGCCAAAGTGTTTTTGACACTTTCACAGCTGACAATGCACCATGCATGCCCTTTCCTCCTGAGGATCTGGAGGTACATTTTAAGCACTACCACCCTAGACTCCCTGAGATTACAGGAGTGTGTGTGTGTGTGTGTGTGTGCACACGTGCGCATTGTATGTCCTTATTTATGAACAGAGAATTGTTCTATGTACCAGGTAGTTAATCTAAATCATGTTATTTAATGTGCAGAATCACCTTATTAAATGAGTTCCATTGTACAGGTAAGGAAGCAGGCTTGGAGAGGTTAAATGATTTTCCTGCTGTCAGCGCTCTAAGTAGCAAAGCCTGAGCTGAACTTGGGTCTGCCTGTGGCCACAGCTCAGGATATGACCCCCCAGGCTTCACTGCCTCACTGCTTCCTTGAACTTGAAGTAATTTACGTTTTTCATTTTGCTTTCAGCTTGTCTTCCGTCCCTGTCCACCTCTCCTCTGCTGAAGTCTACAGTCATTGACTCAGTATTTATGGAGCACCTCCTATCTGCCAGACCCTGTTTTAGTTGCTAGAGACGCAGCAGTGAACGAAATGGATAAGCATTTCTGTCCTCGGGAGCTTACATTTCGGTAAGAATGGTTCAGTTATTTCTCTCCTGATCTCCCAGATTTCCACCCAAAATATCCTTTTCAAACATTCAGTAAACTCAGGGCCTCTTTCCCAAATGCTACTTGCCCTGAAATATAACTCGACATGTCAAATCCATAAGGGCGATGGGAATTTGCTTTTAATCTTCTGATGCAAGGCACTTTTTGCTGCCCCGTTTTTGTTTTTGCTTTCAGAGACGGCATCAGGGCCCTGAAGTGGCTGCCTGGCCAGTGGCACGTGGGTATATGACATGGGGGTGTCCAGTGGATCAAGAGATGTTGTTTGGGCATAAAGGACACTGCAGGTCCAGTTCCCAGGGGAGCAGGGTCTGAGCCAGAGAACTGCAGGCAAGAAGTGCTCTGGGGCACAATTGGGTGGAGGGATGGTGAACTGCTGCGCAGCCCTAACAGAGGTCAATTCTACAGGGAGTTCCAGATGGAGTCGTCTCTAATTAGGGTGGGGTTTGTACCTCATGTCAAATAGTGATTGGATGCAGCTGCCCCGGGAAGAGAGCGTGACTTGGGTAAGGAGGCTCTCGCCAGTTCCCACGTGGAGCCTGGCTGAGTGCTGGCTGCCAACTCCTGGAAGTTGGGGGATGAGGGCTTCGGCCCTGGAGTTGTGGGTCTGGGGAGCACACCACAGCCTCCACATCTTCTCCCTGATGGACTCTTCCTTTGGACTCCTCACCTCCGGATGTTACTTCAGCAGAGTTTTGCAAAAACTCAGAATGGCTCGGCACCCTGAGACCCACCCAGTTGGACGAAAGCCTCCAGGTCAAAGCGGTGAGTTTGAGCC